TTTTTTCCTGGATTGCTCCTCACAGAGGCAGACTCTCTCTCCCTGCCTCTATCTCTTTCTCCTCTCTCTCTCTCTCTCTCTCTCTCTCTCTCTCTCTCTCTTTCTCTCTCTCTCCTCTCTGTCTCTCTCTCCCCCCCTTCACAACTCACTGCATTTGTCCCTGTTTTCTCTCTGTAGTTACTGGTGTACAAATTAGCCCCACTTTGCTAAGCCCTTACAGGCAGAGACTGACCTAACCTGTGCATGTGCCTTATGGCACCTCAGTTGACACCTTGTTAAAGGGTGTTTCTGTTTAAAATGGTAGTAACCTCGATGAGATCCAGACTTGACATAAGTTGCAATTTCAGACCGGCTGGGTGCCCCCTGGGCTGGCCAGAGAGGTGACTGACAGCACTTCTGTGAGGTATGGCATGGGGGAAGGAGGAGCAGGACCCTTGTCAGCATCTCCAGTCAGAAGTTCTGCAGCTGGTCCCGGGAGGCAAGTGCATGGGGCCTTGCTCCACCTGCAGCCCTTAACGATTCCCTTCTAGAGCCACCTATGCTGCAATGGATGTGTAGGCATCAGAGGGTCTGACCCATGCCAGGGAACTGCAGCTCTCTCCTTAATAACTCATGTTTAGGTCTTAATTTTGGTTATTTTGTCTGAGACCTCCATTATAAAATATATTTCTTATCACTTTTTATATATACACATGCACACACCAACACAGTAAGACATACAACCAAAATTGAGCATATCACACAACAGCAATCAGTTATGTGCCTCCCTTTTTAAAATTCTACATCATTTGTTTTGAAGTACTGGTCTTGATTATTGCTTCACTAAACAATTTATCCATGTGCCGCAGCTACCACTGGACAACATCTAATGAAGGAGATGGATGGCCAAAGGTCTCCTGGGGACGCCACAGCAGGGCAGCTGATCCTCTGTGAGGATCAGGAGGGTCACGGATGATGTCCCAGGAAGCTGAGGCCTTGCCAAGTCCCAGTGAGCACAGTGGAACTGACTGGCAAATGTGAATATAGGAAAATCCTCACAGACAGAAAGAGGAAAGAGGAGGAGAAATTTGTGATCAGGACTCCTGCTCCACAGAGCACAGCATGTTGCCGTGTTGTGCTGTTTTCTGCAGAAGCAGCCCTTCTATCCACTCTTGTGAAAGTGACTCCGCATTGCTCTGCTCCATTTCTGCCCATCATCAGCTGGGCTATCCCCTAAAAATTGCTATTCTTGTCCCCCAGCAGTCACTGCCTCTGTCATACCAAACCTGAACAGGCATCTTCCCAACATCCTTTAGTAGGAGATGGCAAATGTCTTGCTCCACACAGTATGACTGTGTCTAGCAGTTGCTTCATTTGGGGACAGACTGAGCTCACAAGTGATGAGCACCTTGGCACCAGGCACTCAGGAGATGCTGGCCCAGGCTCCACACTCTCTGCTCCTGCCAAGGCTGAGGGCCACAGACAGGGGCGCGTGGCTGAGGTCTGCTCAGGTGGGGCCAGATGACTTGTCCAGCACATCACAAGCCCGAGAAACATCACAGCAAAGGGAACATTATTTCCTTGAAGGGTGCACAATACAGAGAAATCCAAAGGTGGATACAACAGGGGATTTCCTTGGAACATAAAATGTATAGGACTCCTGCCTGGCACCAGACACCGTGACAGTTTGGGGAAAGAGAAAGCACAGCTAGGACAGTGCTCTGAAGTTTCTTCTTTTCTCACTGCTATGGTCCACATGTTCACCTGTCCTGAAAACTCATTTGCTGAAACCTAATCTCGAACATGGTGGCACCAAGAAAAGGGGCCTTTGGAGGGGAGAAGGTCATAAGGACAAAGCCATTCGAGTGGGATGATGACCTCATAAAAGAGGTCTAGGGCTTGTCTTGCCTTTCTATCACCTAAGGGCACAGTGAACTGGCACCATTTAGGAGAAAGTAGATGTCACAAGATCCCAGCTCTGTCAATATTTTGTTCATGGATTTCTCAGCCTCCTAAAGTGAGAAGAAACACCCCTTCTTTTTTATAAGCTACCTGGTGTGTAGGATTCTCTTATAGTAAAGATATCTGTTATCTCCTTTGGATGACTTTCTCTTTCCACCTAATTCTCCCCTTGCAACCTTTTAAAATGTGCCAACTCACATAGGCTTTCTTTAAAGCCAGAGCCACCAGTACATTGTCCTAAGAAGAAACATAATGTCAGAATCTAAATGGCCCTTTTCTAGTTTTCAAAGTGATATGTACACATGTTACTTCAACTTGCTTCTCCTTGTACTTGCATAATAGGTAAGGGAAACCCTGTCTTTGTGGTGGGAGAAACTGAGATGACAGTGAGGCTGCACAGTTTGAAGAAGGGACACTTCTGCAAGTAGCTCAGGATTCTAATGCACATGTGTCTTTCAGATTTTAGCCTCCTACTTTTGGATGACAGGTGATAATATGATTTCATTATATCTGTAAGGCACTATGTAATTTTTTAAAAAATTTTTTTTACATTTGTTGTGTGTGTGTGTGTGTGTGTGTGTGTGTGGCCAGCTCAGCCCACCAGGGGGCGGGACTGGCTGGCATGTGGTGCTGGGGGATTGAACCTTGGTCCCTGTGGTTTGCTAAGCTTGTTCCAAGTAGTTGCTTTAGACCACTGAGCCATCTCACCAGCCCCGGCACTATGTAATTTTAAAAGTACTTTAATCCCAAGGAGAACTTTATTGGGGGATTTTGTCATCAACAAAGATCAATGAGCTAATGCCAGCCAACCTCTGCTCCTATTTTTGAAGAAAAAAAATCCCAAGACAATGTCCTCAGTATGTGTTTGTCTACTTCTACACACACACCTCAGAAGAAGTATGAGTCCCTGAACTCACCATCCTTTCAGAAGTAGTAAGGAAAGAGTATCAATGAGGGCCTTGTTGTCATCATCCCAGACTAACTCTGGCTGAACACCCACCACCAGAGAGGAACACACTACAGTCTCTTTTGACAGCCATATCAAAGATTTTTGGCAGGATGAATATGCTCATTATGTACAGCAAACACATACTAATATAAATGAAAAATAAAAAGAAGCTCAAAAGTTTGAAAATGAAGCAATTGTCCAGGAAGAACAATCTCCTACTGTGCAACTGGGTAGAAATGAAAGGCTGCTAGCAGGGAAAGCATCGAGCATCACCAGCCTGTGGCCACCACACTGCCTTGGAGAATGCTGCCCCCAGGGAGACACTGTGAGAAATCTCCCATGGGAGCAGCCGCCACCCTGAGCACCTCGTTCACTCGCCCTCCAACACACATGCCTTCATGCTTATTGTGCATCAAATACTTTGTTAGGAGCTGCAGGAACAGAGATGACCAGGACAGACAGAGCTCCTGCCTCCTACATTGGCTATGTTTGCATCCTTACATTAACCACATTCTTCCCAGTACTGCCTGACATTTGAAGGGCAGTGCCGAAGAAACGAGGCCCAGAGGCATCCTGAAGGTGTGCACTCTTGCACACACAAGGAGGTGGTGGGAAAGAAAAAGGCAATGTGTAAAGTGGGGCTCAAGGGCCTCTAGTTCATTATCTATCTGGGGTTACTGTAGAGTACTTCAGAAAGGCCAAACTGAATTGACAAGTGCTCAGCAGAGGTCCATTTTCCTCCTGCACTTGGTGCTTCCCTGCCTCCAAGAAAAGCTCCTACTCTGGCCAACCTGCTCCCTTCATCCATGACACACGGCACTGAGAGCCTGGCTTGGCAGATGGTGGTGCTAGAGCAGCCAGGCAGCCTCCTCCTGGTGCTGGAGAAACTCAGGCTCCCAGCCATGACCTGGTGCTTGAAGCAGAACCTGGTTGCAACTGCACGTGGCCCCTGTGTAAACTAAGGTGTGAGGAGTCCTGAGCTAGAACATCTTGATTTCCTTAAATTATTTCTTGAAACCTCAATTTAGAAGAAAAGTACTGCATTCTTTTCCATTATTTTCTTCTCTCATTATCCCATGGATGGTAACCATGAGACTCTTAGAGAGTCTTACAGTTTTTGAGTATGTCTCTCTGAAAACATTGTTTAAAACACAAAACTCCTGCAGCACCAAGTATTTTTCCTCCTTTCTTTTTTGACACAGGGTCTCACTATGCAGTTTGGACTCATAATGATCTCCTGCCTAAGCCTGCCCAGCACTCAGATTACAGGCATGTACCACCATGCTCGGTTTAGGGGCCAGTACAGTATGCAGGACCAATGATCGAACTCGGGTAATTGAGCGTAACAGGCAGGTGCTTAGACTGCTGAGCTATCTCATCAGCCCTCCTTTTTATTTTTGAGGTCAAATACTAAAGCATCAAGCTGGAAAACGAAGAATGAAGAATAAAGCTGAGCTGCTTAGGGTAGCCCTGCCATGATTACCAGCCTGGAAGTAAATGCTTAATGCTTTCAGGGTGATGAGTGCTAAAGAGCAAAGAACTCAAGACTTAGATCTAGGACACCAGAGTTTTAGCCTGAAGTCTGCCATGGATACTACTTAAGACCTGGGTAAGTCACTTCCTTAAGATTAAAATTTTCTGAGGCTGGAGAGATAGCTCAGCAATCTAAGTGCCTGCCTGGTAAGAGCAAGGACCCAGATTCCATCCTCAGTACCACATGCTGTGCCAGCCCCAGAATTCCCGGCATGCTGTGCTGGCCACCAAAACTAGGTATAGTGGTGCATGAGTATAATCCCAGTTCTGGGGAGGCTGAGACAGGAGGATCACTACATGTCCAAGCTGCGTAGTGAGACTCTGTACCAAACAAATAAATAAGTAAATAATGATTTTTACAAATTAAAAGAAAAGATTCAATACAGTAGCAGCAACAGACTACAAGATTCCTTAGTGAAAGGTGACTTCTAATCCAAGTATACAGGAAAGACTGCAATGGCTGTTATATTATTTTCTTTTCTCCTTCCTTTTTACTTTGCAGAAAACCTCAATTTGGCCCAGGGCAAGGAGGCATTAAAAGAAGTCTCCCTGAAGGGTGTGCCTCTTGTGCCGCCAAACCCAGGGGACAAGGAGGAGTGGCACCGTCTTAACTACTGAGCTGAAATGGATAACAGACAAACTGAGGCATAAAGGACACACCTCCAAGTCCCAAAGATGGGAAGGACAGGTACCAACTAACAAGTTGGCAAAAATTTAGCTTATGGTGGAAGGTCTTGCCTAATGCAGGTGGGAATGGTATGGTGAGAATGTTCATCAATACGATACCCAGCATGTGTGCAGTTTAGAATATGCAATGCTTAGCATAAACTGTGGTGAAGTCCAGCTTAGCCAAGATAATATTTCATTCCTAAGAATTAAATACAGATTGTCATCACAGTAAACATGCTGCCCTTCTGTAGATGATGACTAAGTACCTCATTCATCTAGGTGGCCCTTGACAGCAAAGGACCTGATGCCATGCAAGCCTCTTCCCTGTGTGAATCAGCCTGGGCTGGAGGAACAAGATGGGTCTGGGGCAGTTCTAGAAGGGTGGATGATGGAGTGTGGCCAGAGCAAGGCATGGAGTTCCCCTGACACAAAGGCCTAACTGCTGTCCACAGAGCATGTGAATCCAACAGGAGCCTGGCACTGCTCACGTCACAGCCCAGCCAACTCTGAGGGAGACTTACAGGGAGCTGAGAGTGTCTTTACCTCATGCTGGACATCATTACACATGGAGGACTTGAGAAGTTCTGGGAAAGCCAGGCTTTGGTGTGTCTGTGGCCTTCAGGTTCAAACCCAGGGCCTCACATTCACTAATCAGGTGCTCCAGCTAGCTATACCTGTCGCTCTTGGAAAGCCACCAGTCAACCCCTCTGCCTATCCCAGAAGCCATCTGAGCTGGAAGGGACCACCACACTTACCTGTGCACCTCAGGAGGCTCCCTCTGGATTTTGGAGCTTGCCTCCACCACCTCTTTAGCAACTTTGCCACTAAAAAAAGACAGAAACACAACATATGTGCACATTTATAGAAGGAGGGCTACATGTGTGCCATTTTTTGTTGACTTCATCATGATCTGAGTCATCTCTATACTCCATACCTCCCCTTCTTCCGTAGGAGAAGTCACTATGGAGGTGGAGGACACCCATGCCACAGGCTTAATGGAATGGAAATAGCAGGTCAGTGGAATGGCTGCAAAAGTGATTAATGCAGATCTAAATCCTCAGAGCCTTGTTCACAAGTGGAACATTTCCATGCCTTACCCAGACCCAATGCCGCAGTGGAACCATTCGTACTCACCTATATCGAAATCTACTTCCTTTAAAAAATATCTTGCTGCTTGACACAGTCTTGATCTGACTGGACTTTGCATACCTTTAGGAAAAAAGCAAAGCAGAGGTGGTAGTGACATTGGGAAGTCAAAGCAGACATGCTGGTGGGCTGTGATAATCAGCTATTTTGACTAGAAGAAAGAAATGCATTTCCTATTTTGACTCAGCAGACACACACAAGCACTGAAAGAAAAGTGTCATAAAAGAACAGTTACTTTACTTGTATTATAGTTGATGCTGTCACTAATGTTAGTTCCTTTCATCCTCTTTGAGAGGATCTAGTCATGATCCACACATTTGTCTTTATAACCCATTACTTCATCAGGGCCTGCAAAAAGGACTGTGCAATCCTGATGACCACAGGGACTCTTCCTCAGTCTACACTGAGAGATGGAAAGGATGGGATTTTGTGACTGACACCATTTTCTCTGGAATTGGGGACACTATGTTGGTGTGCCTGGGCCAACTGCCATAGGAAGCAGTTTCCTGGCATCATAGGTCACCTGCTGCAGTATAAAGACCCAGTGTATCTATTGCTCAGGCAGAGAACCAAGAGAGTATATGGCCACAGCGTGGCTGCTGGTTTCTGTGTCACCATGACCTAATGCCCTTTAACAGAATCCACACTGGTAGTTGACTAAGATACACAAGGAGCAGGAAGCCTAGCCAAGCACTGATTCAGCACCTCTGAGCCATAGTCTTAAAAAAAGAACAAAATGACAACATGCTGAAAACAACTGAGAACATGGGCTGCCCCAGGCCGTACAGAGGCCCCAAATTACTGTGACAGCTGAGGATGCCTCCTCTTATAGTAACTTTAAGCCTTATGCTATTAAATCTAAATAAAAACATTTGTCTCCCAGAATTGAGGCTTATTTAACATATTGATACGTACAGAGTCACACACACCAGTGTTCTCTCTGAGACTGAACACAGATGTGCACACAGCAGGTGGGGATTTCCACCTCTGTGTCTGATGCAACTTTGCTCACTGCCTTGCCAACACAAATTAGCACCACACCTATCCACACACCAAGCTCAACTCAGGATACACACAGTCTCTGCACTCATGGGTGAAAGGTGCAGAGAACAAATTAAAACAAATCCAGTGACCATGCATATTTATGGACATGAATGCTCGTGGGGCTTTCTGTGAATGGAATGGCTGATAGGAGCAGAGGGAAGCAGGGCTGAGCCAGTGGGGGGCAGGGCATAGAAGATGCCCAAAGAAAACAGCATCTGAACTGTACATCAGGGCAGGAAGATATTAACCTGGAGACAGAGAGGGCGGGTGCCTTGCAGAGAGGCCAGCAGACTCAAAAGCCCTGAGCATGGGCATCTGCAGAACCGAGAGCTGCTGTGCACACACTCAGCTTACCCTTATTATGGCTCTTGTTACTACACAGACAAACATCCTGTTTCCTAGTTGAAGAAGGGAAAGTACAAGGTGGAAAAGACAATCAAGAGAGATAACCAGTCTGAGTCTGCACGGTCTGACTCTTATCCTTGTTGAGGATTTTGGGCTGTATCCAGAGAGCAATGGAAGGCCGTAGTAACAATCTTGGATACAGCAGTCCCTCTTGAACAACAGCTGATTGAGATATGAGCTAAACGCCAAGCATTCATGGCTTTAGACTCCATACCTAGTGGGTTTTAGTATAAATCCCAAAGTCTAAACAAAAATCAAAATATCAGTCACTACTGTCTAATACTCAGACATTTCAATTCTCCTCAAAAGAAACACTTTGTATCACTTAAGTTTTTTTTTAATTTTATTTTATTAGTACAGATGTACAGAACATGACACTACAGATTATTTCCTTTTTTCAAATCTCCTTCCCCGTTCCTTCCTGTTCCTCCCTCTTCCTCCTCCACTTTCCCCACCCAAATTTTCATTCTTATAGATATTATTAATCTTAGCTCACATTATCATATATGTTTACATTTATTGAGGTTATTAGATTCCTATATATGGCATATTTTATTCCTTTTTTAACTTTCTTTTAATCTTTTATTTATTTATTTGGTACAAGGTCTCTCTATGCAGCTCAGACTCGTAGTGATCTTCCTGCCTCAGCCTCTCCAGCACTGGGACTACAGGCATGTACCACCATGCCCAGTTTTCATGTGGTATGGGGGATGGAACCTGGGTCTTTGCACTTGCCAGGCAGGCACTAAGACCGCCAAGTTATCTCTCCAGTCCAGCATATTTTATTCTCATTTCTTCTTCCCCTCCTCACCCCATGCTCTTATTCTATTTGTCCTCTTCCTTATCGAAAGAGATCTGACACCTCGTCTCCTTCTATCTATTCTTTATTATTCTTTTGGTTTGTATTTTGCTTCACTCAAGTGAGAGATAGCCTATGGTATATAAGTTGGTGTGTCTGGATTATTTCACTCAACAATGTATTTTTCAGGTACATCCATTTCCCTACAAATGTGTCAAATGTGTCATTCTTTATAGCCAAATAATGATCCATTGTATACAAATGCCACATTTTTTAATCTAATTGTTTTTTATCAGTATATAGGCTGTTCTCAGGATTTAGCTATTTTTTTCCATAATTTTATTGATAAACAAATAGCAATGAGACAATTTCAAATCAAATTGGTAGGACAGTTTCAATAATTAACACATTGCATACATTCCTCCCAGTGGTTAATAGCTGTACAAGATGCGGACATGATATCCTATCTACAAACATCATTAGAACAAATACCTCTACTCAGTAAGAGAATGTAACTATATATCTATCCTAACCACTTTAAATACACAGATAAAAAATGGACATTCATCTGTATACCCTTTTTTTGTTAAGTTTTGTTATTTGAATATTATAGGTGTGTTAACTCAACAAAATATTCTAAAAGAGTTCAGTAGTCCATAATAGTATTGGGTCTTCTGCTTGACTGGCAATGTCAGAAATTGTTGACCTGAGTCCTCTACAGCTCAATATAACAGCACGGCTTTACTTCTTCTATTTTGTTTT